ACAACCATTATCTATAAGTCCTTAAATAACACTAGATTAAAGTGGAGTTGCAGATGGTACAAATTTGATGGCAAACAATCTCTACAGTACTCAAACTGCTGTTTGCGTTGGTCTGTTGATTCGGCTCTATTTCCTAGACCTCATACCGACAACAAGATTGCTTTATTATGAGTCTGGTTGCAGTTTCCATCATCGCCTGTGGTTCCAGCTATTTCGCAAGGTGATGCTCTGTTTGCCGCGATCAAAGTGAATAGCCGCCACCAACCACAAGATGGGCTCTCGGTCAAAACTGGGATGTGGGTCGAAGCTACGATGAAACCTATGGTGCCATCTTTGGCGGGAACTTTGTGAAAAACACATTTTTAAAAGGATAACAAGGATTCGATTAAAAATTATCCCTCTTTTTCAACACCCTACACATTTTGAAGAAGAAATAAGTACCTATTCCACAGAAGGCCCGCGTTTTAGAAAACGTGCTTTAATCTGTAGACTAATACAGAGAAGTCTTGAGGTCTCATAGTTTTTAGAAACCCTTTCAGTCATGCAGAAAATTGTCTGATAAAGAGCAAATTGTGAGTATGGTCTTTTTATATTTTCAAAGACACGATATGGATACTTTAACAGTAAGATTGAAATTTAGTTGCACAATGGTTTTCCAACTACAAACATTAAAAGTACCAACTTACAATTGAACATCTAAAATAAGGATGAGCACCAGAGCTCGGAAAGATGAAAGTCAACTAATGTCAAGGTCGAGTCGGGTTATATGGAGTGGAAAATGGCTTATAAACCACAGTGTCCCAAAATGGAGCCATTCTCCCTCAACATGTGAGAACAGCTGGCGAGGATTCAAGAGCTCTTGGACTCACCACAGAAAATAATGCAATGACTCTTCAGTCTCGAGACTGGCGGAACATAAGTCTGAAAAGACTGTAGCACATTATAAGCATTCAAACAGTCAATATAGTGATTTAACTCAAATAAATATTAACACCTTTCAATGAAGATCACCCAAACGATTAGTTGAATATTCACAAACTGTGTTTATGCAAAGATGCCGTCATAAATTAGAAATTTGCAAGGGCAATAAAGAAGAATAAATATGTTGTAGGAAAATATTTGTCTACCCATTCAGTTACAAACTGCAAAAAACAATATAATTCAACACATGATAAGAAAACATCCTGATGTAGTAAGAGATTGAGAAATGTGCTGAAGAGGTGCAAATTTTCTCGTGTTATTAATTATTAACTCAAAAGATTTAGAACATATCAAACATTTAATTAAGGATTACAGCCTAGAGTAGTAAATAAGCACCATCTATCTATTGGTCTAACATGCAACGATACTGCAAATCCACTCTTTCTGTAGCCTAATTCATAAAATAATAGACATTTGAAATCTTAGTTGCTATATCAGAGTTGCATCAGCCAGATTTATAGACGGCGAATGATCCTTAAAAAACTGTTACTAATTTTCTCTAGGGGCAGACGACGGCGCTTGCGCGGACAGGAATAGACCCGTCGCGGCGTTGCCAGCTCGCTCTACTCATTGTTATACTCTTGATGACGGATAGATACAACTCTCATCTTCCAAATTGAAATCTATGAATAGTGTTTGTGTACTTGGTATACAGTTTGAACTGAGCAACAACATCATATGGCTGGGGTTCCGAAAAACGCCGATACCAAAATTTACCTTTTGCTGGTACTTTAGGAAATAGAACTTGTTTAATTTATCTAAAATACGTCTACGTCTATGGCTTTAAGTACTGTGGAGCAGTAAAGGGAGAGAAATTTTGCGTATAATCCACGGCATGTCTGCTGATCAGAAATATTCCACCTAAGGTAGTTACTTCTTCCTTAAATCGGAATGGTAAACCCCTAACAATTTGCAGTTAACTCATGAAGGTATTGATTAGAAGCAGCATTGACTTTGTGATGCTAAAGACTATCAATATGCAATAGTCAAGGAAACAGTTAACAGAAGCAGACCCTATTTGATGTTTTACTGTCAACACTTTCCTTTAAGGTCATTTCAAATGCAAATATACGTAAATAATAGAAAATATACGTATATAATATAAAATCCATACATCATAGTTAAAGGGCATTTCCAAAATGGAATAGATCATACTTACTCCGACGTTCAAGGCGACGAAAACGAGGTTAAAATGGCATCGAGCTTATCATATTCATAAGCAACAGATCCAAGACTAAAAGTTTCATCAAATTATTGTTCGCCCCAAGAAAGCCATTGGTCTTGTGCTAGTGCAAGTTTTCATGGCAATAAAGCATTTCTCCAACAGAAGAACGCACCTAGACAATGTACACCTTCTTGGCTCAAGAGTCACAGATAGTCGTTTACTCCGTGTCAGGTAGTGTATGCCAGAACTTGCAAACAATATCGCAGTGATATACTCTTTGTTTACCGTTGTTAAACAAGTGTCGTAGAGTCAGTTTCCAAAACGCTTCTGCCAAACTTTGAAGACAAGGTGTGGAACTGTTTAGTTCTGAGAGTATGCCAGATTCTGCAGACAGTGCATCCTGGCCATGTACTCAACGTTGTACCTCTCAGACCAAGTATATCGCTGATACTCCTAATTTATCCTTGAGAAACTAATGCCTAGTTAATGTCCAAACTGAGCTTGTTAGAATGCGCAGGCAATTTACCTGAAGAATACACATCGTGTTTTACATCTCCTTGTGGTTTGTCAGACTTGGCAAACATTGAATCTCTGTCTTGATAATACTCTTTCAGCAAGTATCTAGTCTATGCCCAAACCGTGTTTGTCACAATCTGCAGACAATGTATCTTGTTTACCCTTGTGGACTGTTGTCTGGTCTGTCCAGCTAGCGACAGACAGGCTCGGAAGTCTGCCACCTGCTAGGGTCGTTGGTCTGATAATTAAGAGTCAGCGTCGCTATTTTCGGACGACCCTGATCTTTCAGCGCCCTGACGCGCCTCGTTGTTGGTCACTTGTTTATCGTCGAGCTCTTATCTCATCTGGAGGGAAAATCTCGAGTTTCCCGCGTCTCGAAATGATATAATGGCCAAATGTACCACGAGCATGAGTCATATCTGGCGAACGTTCAGTTAGTCTGGCCAGTTGGCTGGGCTGAGAACGTCGCTGCCGATGAAACACCTAGTTCACACCTGGGAGAGGAGAGCTAAACAATTTGTTTCCATGGCGTAAAGCTAAATACATTTCCCCATAGAATAGTAATCCAAGTGTTGTTTCAGAAGATACAGTATATTTTCTTGTCTTGACTTGATGTAGCCTATTTGTAATTTTGCTTGGGCGACCTTTTAGTGGAATACACTTTTGAGGGGATGTATTCCCGAAACGTAAGTGAATTTTTCAAACTTGTTTTGAATACACTTACCTTTAAATACTTGTTTTTATTTTGTTTAAAAAAGTACATCCGCAATGTAGAGAAGAGTTTCGATAATACTCCTCCCCAAGCTGACTGCTAAGTAGTGATTTTTAAGTCCTAATACATTCAAAATCCTTAATTTAAATGATTCAACAATAAAGATGGGTCCTACACTGCCCCTTCACGTCTGTGGCAATGTAACCTTCCAAAGGAAAAGTACGTTTTCTCGCATACATGCATGAAGAGTATAAATAATAATTTATATTGCCTATCCTCACAAGGAGTTAGAATCTACAGCTGAAACATGACGAGTTTTTGTAATCCTCAGACAAATACATCAAAATGAGAAGCGCAGTGGAAGTAGAAGCATGGCATGAGCCAAATTGAGGTTTCATCAAGATAGTGATAATGTTGTCAACAAAAGTGGTGTGAACAAATGCGGGAACATTAACAAGACCACGGTTGGCTGGCTTGAGCTGCACGTCATCCACGGTTCCCACCTATTCTATTGTCAGACATGCGACTTCTGAGAATTACTGCAGTTATCGCGGGAAATCATACTCATAAGACGTAGAAACCGAGGGAGTCCATGCAAGCGTCTTTAATCAAAATCAAGCAACAGTTGTTCTAGCTAAAAAATTCTCTTGTTGAATTGGGATGTGATGGTAACAAAGTGTTACTCTTGTACGAGATTTAGATGGTGTTCAGTGTGAAAAATTGTTCACTAGACAAAAAGAAATATATCAATAGAAACAGAACTGAACCGTTTGTGGTTACATGTTTAATCTCTTATATCCGCTATCATAATCTATAATATCTGTAAAAGATTGCATTCATGACTAAAAGAGTTTCAATGTGTGCATTGCATTTACTAATAAGTTAATTCACGCAATTCCTAGGCTATTCTTTCATGCTCAAGGCTGTCCAAGTCTTTTGACGTAGGTGTAAGCCGGGCTTGTATGTAGACTACCGTAGCTAGAGCTGCCAAAAACGACAGCCTACACGATTCATTCACAACCCCTCTCGCCCTTTGCTCCTATTGGCTAATATTTTGAGGTTTGGATAAAGGCCTAATTGATTTGTAGTATTAGCCAACAGTATGTTTAACTTCAGCTGATCAATTTTGAAACACTTGAATATCCGTGTTATGTTGAGCATGGTTTATCTGTGGTGGTTAAACAAAATACGTTTTAGATTCAATGTACCAGGTTTAGGTAAAATATAATAGAATTGAGTAGAGTAGGAATCTTAGGTTAAATGAAGAGTATTCTACCAATTACTGTTTTTGTGAGAAAATGTGTATTTGCAACACAAAAAACCACCAAAGAAAATTCACTTAACTAAAAGTGTTGTCATAAAGGAAAAAAAGAGTCTTTTACTCTACAGCTGGAATTTCAATCTTTGATTAGATTGAGGTCATATGTGCATTCATCAAAGGTTGCGAAGTTTTTATTATATAGATGTAAAGATGTTATCTCCATCAATAACAAATGAGAGTATGTCTTAGTTATTGATTGATGAAATGGGCGGACCCTAGATCCATACAATTACCGTAACTCTTTGTGCACTAATGGCCATTACAAAAAAAAAAACTTAACTAAAAACTATAAAAGTTGTACTTACTGTTGTCGGCGCCACTGGAAGGTTTAACGGGTTGGACGGTAACCGTAGCATACGTCGCCATACTCTCTCCTAATACGCTGATAGCTCTGCACTCGTAGCGACCAGCATCCTCCACGCGGACCCTGGGTATCAGCAGTGAGGACCTCTTCCTGAATCAACAACACACAGATACTATCAGCACAATGTCACATCACCTTGTAGCTCTGCACTCGTAGCGACTAGCATCCTCCACGCGGACCCTGGGTATCAGCAGTGAGGACCTCTTCCTGAATCAACAACACACAGATACTATCAGCACAATGTCACATCACCTTGTAGCTCTACACTCGTAGCGACCAGCGTCCTCCACGCGGACCCTGGGTATCAGCAGTGAGGACCTCTTCCTGAATCAACAACACACAGATACTATCAGCACAATGTCACATCACCTTGTAGCTCTACACTCGTAGCGACCAGCGTCCTCCACGCGGACCCTGGGTATCAGCAGTGAGGACCTCTTCCTGAATCAACAACACACAGATACTATCAGCACAATGTCACATCACCTTGTAGCTCTACACTCGTAGCGACCAGCGTCCTCCACGCGGACCCTGGGTATCAGCAGTGAGGACCTCTTCCTGAATCAACAACACACAGATACTATCAGCACAATGTCACGTCACCTTGTAGCTCTACACTCGTAGCGACCAGCGTCCTCCACGCGGACCCTGGGTATCAGCAGTGAGGACCTCTTCCTGAATCAACAACACACAGATACTATCAGCACAATGTCACGTCACCTTGTAGCTCTACACTCGTAGCGACCAGCGTCCTCCACGCGGACCCTGGGTATCAGCAGTGAGGACCTCTTCCTGAATCAACAACACACAGATACTATCAGCACAATGTCACATCACCTTGTAGCTCTACACTCGTAGCGACCAGCATCCTCCACGCGGACCCTGGGTATCAGCAGTGAGGACCTCTTCCTGAATCAACAACACACAGATACTATCAGCACAATGTCACGTCACCTTGTAGCTCTACACTCGTAGCGACCAGCGTCCTCCACGCGGACCCTGGGTATCAGCAGTGAGGACCTCTTCCTGAATCAACAACACACAGATACTATCAGCACAATGTCACATCACCTTGTAGCTCTACACTCGTAGCGACCAGCATCCTCCACGCGGACCCTGGGTATCAGCAGTGAGGACCTCTTCCTGAATCAACAACACACAGATACTATCAGCACAATGTCACATCACCTTGTAGCTCTACACTCGTAGCGACCAGCATCCTCCACGCGGACCCTGGGTATCAGCAGTGAGGACCTCTTCCTGAATCAACAACACACAGATACTATCAGCACAATGTCACATCACCTTGTAGCTCTACACTCGTAGCAACCAGCATCCTCCACGCGGACCCTGGGTATCAGCAGTGAGGACCTCTTCCTGAATCAACAACACACAGATACTATCAGCACAATGTCACATCACCTTGTAGCTCTACACTCGTAGCAACCAGCATCCTCCACGCGGACCCTGGGTATCAGCAGTGAGGACCTCTTCCTGAATCAACAACACACAGATACTATCAGCACAATGTCACATCACCTTGTAGCTCTACACTCGTAGCGACCAGCGTCCTCCACGCGGACCCTGGGTATCAGCAGTGAGGACCTCTTCCTGAATCAACAACACTCAGATACTATCAGCACAATGTCACATCACCTTGTAGCTCTACACTCGTAGCAACCAGCATCCTCCACGCGGACCCTGGGTATCAGCAGTGAGGACCTCTTCCTGAATCAACAACACACAGATACTATCAGCACAATGTCACATCACCTTGTAGCTCTACACTCGTAGCGACCAGCATCCTCCACGCGGACCCTGGGTATCAGCAGTGAGGACCTCTTCCTGAATCAACAACACACAGATACTATCAGCACAATGTCACATCACCTTGTAGCTCTACACTCGTAGCGACCAGCATCCTCCACGCGGACCCTGGGTATCAGCAGTGAGGACCTCTTCCTGAATCAACAACACACAGATACTATCAGCACAATGTCACATCACCTTGTAGCTCTACACTCGTAGCGACCAGCGTCCTCCACGCGGACCCTGGGTATCAGCAGTGAGGACCTCTTCCTGAATCAACAACACACAGATACTATCAGCACAATGTCACATCACCTTGTAGCTCTACACTCGTAGCGACCAGCATCCTCCACGCGGACCCTGGGTATCAGCAGTGAGGACCTCTTCCTGAATCAACAACACACAGATACTATCAGCACAATGTCACATCACCTTGTAGCTCTGCACTCGTAGCGACCAGCGTCCTCCACGCGGACCCTGGGTATCAGCAGTGAGGACCTCTTCCTGAATCAACAACACACAGATACTATCAGCACAATGTCACATCACCTTGTAGCTCTACACTCGTAGCGACCAGCATCCTCCACGCGGACCCTGGGTATCAGCAGTGAGGACCTCTTCCTGAATCAACAACACACAGATACTATCAGCACAATGTCACATCTGGCCAATCCACAATTGACAGAGTAGTTAGTTGGGGAGTAGAAGACAATAGACAATAGACTAGAAGTGAGCAAAGGTATCTGAAGATTGTGTTCCTCTCGGTTTATTCAGGATTATTTACTCAAAGTCCAATAATTAATGACAGTTGACAGTTTGGTCCATATTCGAACCACCAAAAAAACTACTGATTTTACTGGATCGTATGGAAGTCTTCTGAACAGTAAACGAGCACTATACACACTACATAGGCCAATAGCATAGATAGGATTTTGATCAACGTGGCACGATTTTCTTCAGGGTCACACAAAACTCAAACAGCTATTTAATAACCAAGAGGATTCTCCTACATATTTTCAAGCTACTGACGTTTTCAAAAACCTGAAAGTACCAAATTACGTCAAATAACACTTGTAATAATATATTTACACGTATACGGTTTACTCAAAAAACGGTAAATACATATAAAAGATGGTCATCGGTTATGATTGGACACTCCAATCATCATCAGACCCAATAGGCGAATGACAAGAATCTCAATGGTGTCTCTTATGTACTACAGTATTGGCTCCCAGAAGTAGGCCTACCGGCCATTAAGATTCTTGTCATTCGCCTATTGGATCTGATGATTGGAGTGTCCAATCATAATCGGTCACCACTTACCATATATTTATATTTACCGTCTTGTTAGTAAACAGTATAAGTGTAAATACTATACCTGTTATTAACGTATTTTTGTACTTTCAGGCAACGATGATGTTCAAGAAGTAATTTAGTTTTCTAAAACGGCAACTTTACGATTAGTAGGCAAACACCATAACCACAGCTACCTAGCTAAATGCTTGATACTATTATGGCTATATAGCAATCTAACAAGAACTTTCTACTCTAAAACATAACTCGTCTCTCGCCAGACCACACAAACTTTAAACAGCAAGTATCGAAGATGATTCTCCCACGGTTTCACTGTGTGCCATTGGCGCAGACCGCTCTGCCTTTTCCTGATGCACATTCAAGGTAAATACATTGTTTTAGCGTGTGCTCGCCCCCTCGTTCTCTGCCGTGTCACCCGCCCACCACCTGCATATCTACTCCTCCACGTCTGCAACCCACTATAGTCAAATTAGTTTATCATTGCGCCTGCCTTGCAACTTTAATCAGGCGAGCTTGGAACCTGTTGGTGACAAAAATTGACTATCACGGCATGAAAAATATTTTTTTTAATTTAATTTTTTTTTTCGAAGAGAAAAGTCGAGTTTTTTTCTGCAACCCACTGTAGTCAAGTTAGTTAATCATTGCGCCTGCCTTGCAACTTTAATGAGGCGAGCTTGGAACCTATTGGTGACAACAGTTGAGTATACGGCTTAAAAATTATTTTCTTACATTTTTTAAGATAATGGTATAATTATTTTTCAGCATCACACTATAGTCAAATTGCTTAGTCAATGGCTTTGGTCATTGTGCCTTACAACTTTAACTAGGCAAGCTTGGAACCTATTAATGACGAAATTGAGTATACGGCTTAAAAAAATATTTATTTAAAATTTTGAAGATGATGGTCTAATTATTTTTCAGCGTCACACCATAGTCAAATTCTTTGGTCATTGTGCCCTACAACTTTAACTAGGCAAGCTTGGATCCTGTTAGTGACAAAAATTGACTACAATAGTTTGAAAAATAAATTTTTGAAGATAATAACATTTTAAGATCATTAATTTTCTGTAATCCACTTTAGTCAAGTTAGTTAAGGATTGAGCCTGCTTTGCTACTTTAGTTAGTAAAGCTTGGTACGTCTCGGTGACACTGTTTTAGGCCACTATGTTTATGTTAGGTTATCATTTCGGCTGCCTTGCAACTGTAATCAGAGGAGATTGAAGCATCTTGGTAAAAGAAAGTGACTATAAACCTTGACAATAGAACCAGATATTTCCTTGTTAAGGTTGCAGCCAGTTATTGGATAAAAATGGAGTTGGGTTGAGCCGCCGACGTTGTGTGTCGATGTTTATTACTCATTTTTTCTATGTGTTTTTTACAGCCATTTAACAATCCGTCTTGAAAGTTCATAATATTTTCTTAGGAATGAAAATAATTAAGAAGAATATGAAAACAATTTTAAGCATGTCAAATTAAATTTTGATTTAGCAAAATGGAATTATTCAGTTAAAAGACCGAAGACATAAAATTAGAGTGCACTGTTTAAATGTCTCATTAAAAACTAACTGACATATTCTCATAGCCAGTTTTATATCTTCGTCTACTCACATTTATCCTTAGCAGTTCTTGTGAATTAATAACACATCAAAACTAGTCAATGCACAACAAATAATATTGAAGTCTTGCTGCATTTGGAAGGCTTTAAATTCAAGTTAGTTGATGTTTTATTAATAAAAATATGCTTGTTTGAGCTAACTCTTGATCGGTGTAGGAGAGCCAAGTATAAGATGCTCTTGAAGATCCACCTTGAAACTCTTCTGGTGATCGTTAACTTAATGAAATATTTGACTTTTGGCACACGATTTGCAATGTTGAAATGTGTACTTTACAAACATGCCAAGAGTAGGAGACTCTTTAGTTTATAAATACGTTTTGAGGGTAGTCGGTAATGGGTTTTTCAGTTTCCTAAAATTAAATTTACAAAATCGTTTTTCTGTTCTTAACATAAATCCTCAAAATCATATTATCTGAATGATCTATCTATCAAAATCCAAAATCTACTAGGCCTACTGAAAGTGTCTTCAAAATTTTGAATAAGGTATTTTATATTTTCTAAAATCATTAAGTAATTTTGGATAAATATGTTTCTCATTCAGCCTTTTTTATATGGTTTCCTGTTCACAGCACAAATTTTAGTAATAAAACTAGATTGGGTACAAGTTCAAAATGATCTAACACTTAACAAATTGCTGTTGGAGTAAAACTAGTGAATAATTTTTTTCAATATTCAGTATTTCAGTATTTCAATAGATAAGCTAGTAAATGAAATCACAATTAAGAGACTAAATAGATATTAAAAATTAATTATTTTGCTAAACATACTATGAAGACTGCACTTAAACAATTTACAAATAGTTGAAAACCCATACAACTAAAACGAATACTATTCATTGGGGAAAACAATTTCCATCATTTCGAGTGAAAATTAAAAAAATTTGAAACTGGCTAAACTAAACTCTACTGTCCTAATTATGAAGGATATAATTACGTTTACGGAGCCGTCTGGCTTTTATTTACAAACAGTGCCAACCAGAGCAGTGAACTCCTGTATTTACAAACAGTCTCTGCGATGACCAGACGTCTCGTGGGGAGGTAGAGGTCACTTTCCAATAGGAAAAAGGGAAAACTAGAGGTCACTTTACATCAGAAAACAGGGGAGCTGGGGTCACTTTCCAATAGGAAAACAGGAAAACTAGAGGTCACTTTACAACACAAAAAAGGGGAGGTAGAGGTCACTTTCCAATACGAAAACGGGGAAACTAGATGTCACTTTCCAATAGGATACATAGGAACTAGAGGTTACTTTCCAATAGGAAAAAGGGAAACTAGAGGTCACTTTAGAACAGAAAACGGGGAAACTAGAGGTCACTTTACAACACAAAATAGGGGAGTTAGGGGTCACTTGCCAATACGAAAACGGGGAACTAGATGTCACTTTCCAATAGCAAAACGGGGAGACTAGAGGCCACTTTCCAACAAAACAGGGGAACTAGAGGTTACTTTCCAATAGGAATATTGGAAAACTAGAGGTTACTTTCCAATAGGAATATTGGAAAACTAGAGGTTACTTTCTAAAAGTAAAAAAGGGAAGTAGAGTTTATTTTCTAATAGGAATATTGGAAAACTAGAGGTTACTTTCAAATTGCAATGGGAAATGGGGAAACTCGAGGTCACTTTCCAATAGGAAAACAGGAAAACTAGAGATAAATTTTGAATAGGAAAACGGGAAAACTAGAGGTCACTTTGTAATAGAGAAACTAGTAAAACTATGGATTACTTTAAAATTCACATGAGAGATAAGTAGATAAGGGGGCTATGTAACAGTTTCAAAAATCATCACTCCATTCATATAGTGTTTCCGATTACCTAACTACACTGTTCCATCTCAAATCTAGAAAATTATAAAACATACATCTCAATTTTGGGTTAGAACTTAGAAAACTACTACTGTACAATCCCAATCTAACAGACCAAGTCCGCTAGTTCCCCCGGTTCAAGTTCGCTCTTCCCGACTCGTAACCGATGCTTCCCGGTCCCCAGGGTTCGGAAGTCGTACAAATAAGATGTGCGGTCGGATTACAACGGTAGAGCAGAGGCGAGTGTCCGCGATGACGTCATGGCTTGGGAGGCTGCCACAAGGTCGGTCTACGGTCTACTTCCCACCGACGTCGTCATTACGTTTACGCGTTCGCGCCCAAAACTCCCGAGTTGCGCTTACCTGTACACGTCAAACGGAGAGATTTTGGATGTAACCATGGAGGAATTTTTTTTATAGATTTGAAGTACATACTGAAGAAGCACTTCTTGATATTACCTATAATTATAGAAAAAAATGGGTTGGAATTTTTTCACCCCCTGTGGGAAAGGGGGGAGGTGATTTTTCACGTTTTACAAGGGTTTACTGTATCATGTACGGATTAAAACCAATAAAAGATAATTAATAACGTTTTGTTTCTAAGTGTTTCTTAACGTATGCTCTATGATCTGTAGGATGGGTTTTGTTTGAATACAAAAGTTAATTGTCAACAAAACCAGACAGTCCTAGGTTGAAACAATCACCATACATTTTAAACTTTAACTATTTTCTTTAAGGTAAATAAAAATCGTAGGCTCTTATATTTTATGTTTCTTAAATATTAATAGAGAAAAGAACATGCCAAATTTCTTTTTTTAATTCAGTTTTTTTCATAAACCACCCCCTTAAATATTGATTTTAAAGAGCTACAGTTCTTATTCTATTGTAAAATGATGGGTTAAATAGTATTTTTGTTGTAATTAAAACTGTTCATTGACAACCAAGCACAGTACTGGAAGTTGTAAAACCGCTTATAGAAACAATTACCAGCTATCAAGATTGATATCAGATGCTTACAATTGAATAAGAAATTTCATGTCGATAGTTTGACTTTAAAAGATGGAAAGATCTTGTTAAAAACACTTTTTGACGAAGGAGAGTTTCCAAGACCACGGTATAATCATTGTCTAGAGAGTTTGAAGATAGTGCTGGTTGAAATTGAAAAATTCTTATTCCAAAAACAGTTAGATATTTATCTTAAGCCTACATTTTAACGAAGAAGAAAGTATTGTTGCTTACTTTTTGTACTGTATCCTCGTATTCCTCGTGGCGTTTATCCGCTGACCATCCTTCAGCCACAGCATGGCGGGCAGAGGGTTGCCGCTACATCTGCAGACCAGCCTCAGTCTCTCCTTCACCTTGACTGTCACGTCCCGTAGTCCCCAAACGTCCACGGGCCTGACTGGAACATACCACAGACATTAGAGTTCTGCAGAGGTACAGAGAGATGTTACATCTGTAGACCAGCCTCAGTCTCTCATTCACCTTGACTGTCACGTCCCACAGTCCCCACACGTCCACGGGCCTGACTGGAACATACCACAGACATTACAGTTCTGCAGAGGTACAGAGAGATGTTACATCTGCAGACCAGCCTCAGTCTCTACTTCACCTTGACTGTCACGTCCCGCAGTCCCCACACGTCCACGGGCCTGACCGGAACATACCACAGACATTACAGTTCTGCAGAGGTACAGAGAGATGCAAACTCTGCAGACCAGCCTTAGTCTCTCCTTCACATTGACTGTCACGTACCGTAGTCCCCAAACGTCCACGGGCCTGACTGGAACATACCAAAGACATTAAAGTTCTGCAGAGGTACAGAGAGATGTTACATCTGCAGACCAGCCTCAGTCTCTCCTTCACCTTGACTGTCACGTCCCACAGTCCCCACACGTCCACGGGCCTGACTGGAACATACCACAGACATTACAGTTCTGCAGAGGTACAGAGAGATGTTACATCTGTAGACCAGCCTCAGTCTCTCCTTCACCTTGACTGTCACGTCCCGTAGTCCCCACACGTCCACGGGCCTGACCGGAACATACCACAGACATTACAGTTCTGCAGAGGTACAGAGAGATGCAAACTCTGCAGACCAGCCTTAGTCTCTCCTTCACATTGACTGTCACGTCCCGCAATCCCCACACGTCCACGGGCCTGACTGGAACATACCACAGACATTACAGTTCTGCAGAGGTACAGAGAGATGCTGCATCTGCAGACCAGCCTCAGTCTTTCCTTCGCCTTGACTGTCACGTCCCGCAGTCCCCACACGTCCACGGGCCTGACTGGAACATACCACAGACATTAGAGTTCTGCAGAGGTACAGAGAGATGCTGCATCTGCAGACCAGCCTCAGTCTTTCCTTCACCTTGACTGTCACGTCCCGCAGTCCCCACACGTCCACGGGCCTGACTGAAACATACCACAGACATTAGAGTTCTGCAGAGGTACAGAGAGATGCTGCATCTGCAGACCAGCCTCAGTCTCTCCTTCACCTTGACTGTCGCGTCCCGTAGTCCCCACACGTCCACGGGCCTGACTGAAACATACCACATACATTACAGTTCTGCAGAGGTACAGAGAGATGCAACACTTGCAGACCAAATCTGCGTCGGAGAAATCATATTTATTAGTTTTATAGATTTGAAAATGGAGAAACTTTAAGAAGGATATTTTTTCTATACCTCCTTATATTGTGTTAAATTGAATATACAGGGGTGGTTAGTACTTAACATTGACATGAACAATATTTGTAAGTTGTATTAACAATGTATAATGAGAAGTGTTATTTTAAAACATGTTCGTTTAAAAAAGTAACCCTGAAATGGCCGCATGATAAAGTATTGAGGCCACATTCGGCAAACTCATTAATGTGATCACAAGGGCCTCATTGAGTAGTGATGACTCCTTGGGCTACTGGACAACTGATTAAATCTTTCTGACGCTGTCACATATACGTAATCTAATAATTATTACAAACTAAAAGGTTTGTGAGACCTACATCAACTTCTGAGTTACATGTTCAGCTACAAAATCGGCAAAAATCATAAAGAATCAATTTACAATAGTTTTTTTAAGCAACTTTTAATGTTGACTGTGTAGTTAATTTAATTGCGCTTTGGAACGATCCCTGATCATTTATTTTTATTGTTTACACTACGGGTAGATGAGAAAGACGAAGTAGCCTAAGTGTCATGTTTCGAGTGTTTGTATACTTAAATATACTTTAAGTTTATATTTGGAGGAAGGAAACGTTTGATAATGTTGAATATATACTTAACAAGTGACAATATTGGTAAAAGGAGGTCCTTAGGGAATAGGGGTGATACTCAGTTTGGGAGCTACGAGGACATGAAAAGCCCTTACAGGAATAAGATGACTGGAGGAGGAGGAAAATTGGATGACGGATGCACCTATTTATTTTTATCAACGGCAATGCCAATAATACAATGTGTTGTATTAAGGTCGTAGAAAGTACTGTATAACTAACGGTCTAGATGTACAAGATATTCACAAGCTTCAGCGAAAGGCTGAATTCAGGTGTGGAGACAAAGACTTGACACTTGAAGAGGGATATACTTGTTTCATGGAGAACTCGTACAAGGCAGATACATTTAGTAAGGAGATGAGTGTACTTTGAAATATTTACTCGTAATAACCATCAAAGCAAAGGATAATTTGAGAAAAGAAGTACTCAAAGAAACGTTTGAAGGAAGAAAATAACTTGTGTGAGTGGTAATAATCAAAAGTAGATAAACTTAAAGAGAAAATACTTGGATAAAATTAGATAGGCAAAAGATATAATCAACGAGCAGAGTGTATATGCCAGGAGGGAGGCTAGTGGCAAGAGCCTCGGCGGGCGGCACGGTCCAACAAGAGAACAAGAGTCGCGGCGGCTGTGGACATCCAAGTCTCTACCTCCGGGGTCGTATGGAAATGAACCCACATCAAGGGGTCCGTCTATTAATAAATTCAGCAGCCGGGAGACTTCATTCGGGAGTTCCCATTGTCTATGGCAACGAGCTTTTAAACGGCTGCAAAAACCGCACGGAATGTCCAATTGACAAAGAAGTTATGCCAAAACGGTTCAGAGGCTATGTCTCCTTTCGGCGAGGTCTCCGGGTATGGCAGTGGTCCCTGCATAATACGCGCATTCCAGCGTCGGCCCGCTTTGTCTTACAACTGATGCTTCATCGTCGTTATTGACACCAGAGACCACCATCACCACCCACAAACTCCAGCTTCCAGACACCAGAGAACTCCACCGGCTGCTGGCTCACATGATAGAGGGTTAGTACTTTGGACCCATCTGCCAGGAAATGAAGACATTTTTTTCGTTTAAGAACTGTCTCCATTTTGAAGCTCTCACTCCATGATCTTTACGACAGTGCTATTAGTTGGGGATGGAAAATCTCCGCGCAACTACATTTCAACACCTCCTACTTCACATGTTGGAGCTAAATAATTAATCAACCGGCTTTCTATTCTTGGCCATTTAAAATTGAAAAACTAGCTCTTGTTTGATACTAACCTTTTGCTTAAATATATACAAAATAAAAATAAACCCCTCAAGAATCATTATTTGTTTTTAAGATCATTAGCAAAACTGGGAAATAACAGGTATTGCAGACCAGCTAGCAAGAATTGACCAGAATTGGGTTGTTCGATTTGTCCAGAAGAATCGTGTTGGCAATCGTCTTTGTTAATGCACTGTCTAGTTTAGGAAACTAATTTCTAAACTTTAGGCTAGGACTATAAAATCGTCAAATAACTAAAACCATTGGTTGATTTGCAGGTTTTTAACCCAGGACCTCAAAAATCGAAGCCACACGCACTGCCACAAAAAAATAGAGACCAGATTGTTCCCAAAGACGTCTTACTACGACCGCGGACAACATTGTCCCCGACCGCCTAATTACTTGACACTATGGACCACCTGATTCACTCGCTGGTCATCCGATACCAGCTTAGTCGCCACCCGCCGAACCGGAGAATGTCGTCTGAGACCCGGACTACTTCACTGACCTTAGTCTCGTGGGAATTTTAATGAAGTAAAACCATAGTTATTGAAACACATTTTGCGACACATTTTCGTAATGATTTTATAATTTATTATTTCAAGGTAAAGGACAAGCATCTAGAATATACTAGTAAGTGACAACACCTGCATTCAGTTTTTCCACACTATATGATATTATTCGTCAGCTAGCGTTGCTGCTAGAATAATAAGTTATTATTATTACATTGTTGTCTGTAAGTGAGTAGAAACACACATTGTTCGCGCTTTAGAAAAACCAAGGACATTCAGCATGCTTTTTCATTCCGGTTATGCCACGGAGTTACTTTTAATACTTAAATGATTTTGAACCAAGTGTATGTCACTTCATTGGCAAGTAAGTAATTAGATAAATTAATATTTGTAGGAAAATATCACAATTTGTGCACGCCTGTAAATCCATAGATCACAAAAACGTCTACTCGTGTACCCAAACATCACGAATGTAGTCCTATGTTCAAAGATCATATGAAAGATTTGTCCAGTCCAAAGACCACAAACAAGCCATTCCATTCATCTACAGGCCACCGAATCTCACTCCGTGTGTACCCTTTAAGAACACATCTCTGCACAGTTAAGATGCCACAATTACGAATTGCCGTATATCCAAAGACCACAAGCGAAGTCTGCATGTCCAAAGACCTCCGAAAAACGAATTTTCGTGCATCCAAACACCAGCAGAATGTTGGCTGTCCTGAAACCTCAAGAACACATTTGAGGGCAGTAATGCAACATACCACAATAACAAATATCGGTGTTTCTTAAGACTTAAGACTTAAGGCCTGTGTCTAAAGACCTAAAAACGAATTTGCGCACATCCAAACACCAACAGAACGAACTCCGTATGTCCTGACACCTCAAGAACTCATTTGACACTAATGCAAAATACAACAACACATACCCGTGTTTCCAAGACCACAAGCGAAGTCTGTGTCCAAAGACCTCCAAAGAACGCATGTCCGAAGTCGACCACAAACGTATGTCCGGCCAGCGGTGCCGGCGGCCCTTATCTCTGACTCTGCAGGTGTACTATTCATTATTGATCCCACCAACAATCAACGACACGGAATGCGTGAACATAAAACTAATTATTGCTTGACGAGGTCTGATTAATTCCCAGCGCAAGTTCCCACACGGCAAACCCGCTAACCATCTCATTGCCCCCCGCAAATCCGATTATGGTCTTGCCAAGTCCGCATCTACGAGGACGGAATAGCTGCAGGAACAAAAACGCAAACAGGAGTTGCATGTTTTTCTAGGTGAAGAGGTTTGAATTTTTTTATTGTATGAAAAACGTAATTATGTGCGAGTTCGATTAAAATTTCGACTTGAGAGTTTGG